TTGTTTCTTAATTCCTCTTTTCATGGGGATTGTAAAGGATTACCATTCTTTTAGTTAGTTAAAAACAAAATTGTAGTGAGAGGGTAGTCTCTTTTATTTTCATCTCTGTAGCTTTGTAACAAAGATGTCATGTCAAGAATGACACAGATCTTGACCTAGAAGGACTTCCTCACTTGGATGTAATATGCTACAGAGTAGCTGGTGTGTGTGTGCATGCATGTGCGTGTGCGCTTGTGCAGGCACATGCACAGACCCCACATTTAGTTACAGTACTCTATATGGGGCCATGATCCACAGTTTGAGGGGCTGAGATTTGGACAACAGAGGTTGATTTTTGAAAGGAGTGAAATTAGAAAGATGTAATGGAGACCATAATTTTTTTTCTTTTTTTTTCTGTTGTGTGCTGCATAGGACTTGAGAGAAGAAAACAGAATTTATTTGATACAACTTTCTTCTTTTCTTTTCTTCACTTTCCCTCTCCTTCCCTCCTTTGTCTTAGGGTTTCTATTGCTGTGAAGAGACACCATGACCATGGTAACTCTTATAAAGGAAAACATTTAATTGGGCTGGCTTACAGTTTTAGAGGTTTAGCCCATTGTCATCATGGTGATGGTGATGTGCAGGCAGACATGGTGCCGCAGAAGGAGCTGAGAGTTCTATGTCTGGATCCTCAGGCAGCAGGAAGTGAACTGAAATTAGTCGTTGCTTGAACATAGGAGACCTCAAAGCCCACCCCCACAGTGACGTACTTCCTCTAATATGGCCACACCTCCTAATAGTGCCACTCCCTATGAGCTTGCTTATGGGGGCCAATTCCATTCAAACCACCACATGACCCCTGCCTCCACTCCTCTTCCTCCTTCCCCTTCCCTCTCAGATGTTTTCCTCATCCCCGACTCACAATCGTCCATCCTAAGATAGTGTTTTTATTATTTGTTCTTCCTTGATCATCAGATCCTGAAGCTAAAGTGAAGAGTGACTGATGGCACTTGGGCATTCCCTTCCCTCTGTCTCTCTCCCTTCCTCCTCTCCTTCTCCTCTTCCTCATTTACTCCCTTGGTGCTCCAGTCTGCTTTTGGCCTTCCAAAACTTGAACATTTTCCCCAAATTAATCCCTGACTTTTCAACTGCATAATGTAGATTGTATTTTCTTGACTAAACCTGAGTTATAGAGAGGAAGTTTAGAACTTAATAACCAGAGTACACAATTATCACAAACCAGTTTTTAACACAGTGCTTCCAGTGAAGTATACGGTACAAAATACTTTACTATTTAATAACTTCAAGCTTTTTATATAAACATATTTAAGTTATTTTTAAGTGTGTGTGTGTGTGTGTGTGTGTGTGTGTGTGTGTGTGTGTGTGTGTTCTGTGTTTTGGTCTGTGCATGCAAATGCCTGTACCTACAGAGACCAGGGGTGTTGTATCCCCCTGGAGCTGGAGTTACTGGTGGTTGTAAGCTACCTGATGAGGGTTCTGGTACTCGAACTTGGGACTCCTGGAAGAGCGGTACATGTTCTTAACTGTTGTGCCATCTCTCCAGCACCCCCGTTAAATTTTTAAAAATTATTTTAAATTATGTATATTTGTGTATATGCGTGAGTATAACTTCAGCTTTTATGAATCTGAAAACTTCGGTGCTAAGTTTCCAAATTTTCAGCATAAAATAACAAGTTCATAAAACAAATATAACATTGAAAGAATGAGGAAGAGCCCAGTAGAATTCTCAAGGTTAAAAGACAGATCTGAGAGTCTGTGTAGAAAAACACAACTTGAATGCCATATGTGTAGAATAATATATATATATATATATATTACATTACACACACACACACACACACACACACACACACACACACACACACAACCTGTCAAGATTGAGTTACAAAGAAAAAATTTCTGAATGTAACAATAGCAAGCAGAAAAACTTACTCAAAGATAAAACACCTTTCAAGAAGGTGAAACCTAGGATCTCATGGCTTCCCTAGTAAGTTGCACAAAATTTCACAGAAAAGTTAGCATCAGTTTTTTTCACATGTTAAAAAAAAATTAGAGGAAGAAACATGTTCAAATTCATTCTACAAGGAGAGTATTACCTTGATGGTAAATGAACATAGCTGTAAAACTCCACAACATAATACGAGCAAGTTGATTTAAATAGCACATTAAGAGGATTATATACCATGGTCAGGAGGGATGTATTTTAGATTTAACATGGTTCAGAAAGCACGGATTTGTATGTGTAACACTTTACATTACTAGGAGTATAATAATTCTATATGGTCATCTGAGTAGAGGACACATATATAGGAGTGTAGCACTCTCAACAAAAGCTCCAAACGATCGCCATCCCAACATCACCTTAAACAGAAGCTGATGCTGTGCTCACTGCTGAGCTTCATGAAAGATGTGCGTGTGGAGTGTGGGCCATCTAAAAATTAGCATGGACTCATGGTACCACCGATGGCTTCGTTAGGACATTCGTACGTGGGAACACATGTGCTTTGCTTATGTTGACCCATTATCGTCCCCTGAGCCTGTGTCCCTGACCCTGGTCATGTCAGAATATAGTTCAAGTTTTGCTTCTTTATGAACCATGTCTTAACCTTTCCATCTCCTTCCTTTTCTAAAATGTTGGTTTCCCACCTGATTCAAGTAATGTAGCTCCCAAACCTTTGTTCTCTTCACACTCTGAGCTCTTCTTTTGGGTTAGCAGTTCACTTGCACTGCGTACTGCTCAGATATATGTTTGTTGTTTTATCAGTTGAAGACACACCTATCCATTTCTTCCAGGCTTATTGTTGTACTTTCTAATTCTGGACTTAAAAAAAAAGATTTTTACATCCCCCCATTTTAGCATATTAAACAAATTATGTGTGCATGTTAATATGTGTATAGGTGTGTGTGTGTGTGTGTGTGTGTGTGTGTGTGTGTGTGTGTGTATTCTACACAGACTCTCAGGTCTGTCTTCTACTCTTTGAATTCCAATGGACCATGCCTCACTTTCTTAATGATATAGTGGTTTTGTGAACTTTTTATTTTATGCTGAAGATTCGGAAAGTTTTAGCACCAAAGGTTTTCTAATTCATAAAGTTGAAGTTGCACTCATGCGCACATATATACACAAATACACATACGTAAAAATAATTTTAAAAAATTTAAAGGGGGAAGGAGATGGCCTAACAGGTAAGCTCATGTACTGCTCTTCCAGAGGCCCACGTTTGACTAACAGCGTCTGGTTATCTACTTCAGGTAGCTCACCCCCTTCGGTAAGTCCGGCTCCAATGACAGGAATGCAGTGGGAATGGGGAGAAGTAGGAGGGTCGGTGGTAGACACTGGAGACGACCTGGAGATGTGACCGATGGAGTCTTGGCAGGCGCCTGAGCTTCAGTTCAAAGGAGCAGGAACTTTTTTCCTCCTTTTGTGGGAAGAAGTTATTAGTAATGTCAGGTCTTTGGCCATGGTGTGGGATACAGCCAGATTTTTGTTAAAAGTAGGAAATAAATGCAAAGTTCCATTAGGGGTTTATGAGGAGTTTTCTCCTCATATAGGGCAGAAATTTTGCAGATAAAAGATTTAGAAGATGCAGGGTACCTGTAGAAGATGGTGGCATAGGTCAGATTAGGAGGTGTTGGGGGCTGTGTGAGGGGGCAGTGCAGGGGGGATTAGGAGGTGTTGGGGGCCGTGTGAGGGGGCAGTGCAGGGGGATTAGGAGGTGTTGGGGGCCGTGTGAGGGAGCAGTACCGTGGGGTATTGGGCAGCACAGGATGTGCCTTCATGGGCAAGGAGGGCGACCTGACCTAGTTGTGTGGTCTTTCATGCAGCTTCGAAGATGGCTTCTCCCCTAGGCTGCCAGCCCTCCTAGTAGACTCACAAAAAAAAAAAAAAAAAAAAAAGTGTTTGCAGAGCTTTAGAGAAGGTTTGCTTTCAGGAGGCAGGGCAAGAATGTGGACTACTTCTGCTTAGCTTGTTTATTTACTGTTGCTTTAATAGTCTATGCATGCCATATGACTTTTTTCAATATATTTGTAGGATGAAAATACCAGATAAAAAGACAATCATACAAATTATTATTGCTATTTATATTTTAGGCAATATTTATGTTTTTGTTGTTGTATGGATTTTTTGTTTTTCTTTTCTTAAAATTTATTTATTTTTTAATTATACTTATGATATTTATTAATTATACTCATGCTTTTAATTACATTTGTGGTATTCATTGATTACATTCACAGTATTCATTCAATAATTATATTTATGATATTCATTAATTACATTAATTGTATTGATTTATTACATTCATGATATTATGTCCTGATACTGCTGTCCATTTGTGGGTTTTTTTCCATCACACAAAAACAGAGATTCTGTACTTAATAAATCATTGCTCTATATTCCTTTCTTCTCCATCTTGAGATAATTTCACTAGTAGGATAAGAATTTGTACTGTATCAAGCTGATAAAAAAATATGCTGGCTGTACTTTCAGGAGGGGTGGCTAAGATCTTTTTAGATTATAGATTAGCCTATAGAAAAATGTCTACCATAAATCAAACAATGAAGGGGAAGATGAATAGGAATCTCACTTACACAACTTAACTAAAACATAGCTCTCTGAACAGGTGAAGATAGGTTTCTTTTGTATCCCCAAATCTAATCAATATTTATATGTATAAATCAGCTATTATTTGGCTTAAAAGGGCTTATTGGGAAATGTTGTCATTTATATTACTTTCTACAGAGAAAATATTTTACTGTTTAAAATAACCCTGGACTTTTATAACCTGTTCTTATGTTCAAGTTATTTGTGTATTATTTCTCCTACAGTTGTACATAATGTTTTTTAAACAAATTGCTAAACAACAGTTTATTCATTCCATTAGAGAAGTAGGTGAACTTCAGATTACAAAACCAATGTAAATATAATTTTGAAGAATTAGAGTGTCTTCAAGAAGCCAGTCACAGCTTAACTGAAGTGGATGCAAATATGAGGTTGATGTCTACTGAGGAAGGTCACCTTCCGCTAATATATGAAAAGTTAATGAGATACACTTTCTTAGTTCTTTTTTAGATCTTTTCTCTTTTCCTTTTCTTGGTTTCCTTTTTCCACGGAGCTTCTTTAGACATTTTTTCTCATCCTTAAAATCCTGATGTTCATCTTTGTAAATGCCAAGGAAACGAAGTGTGCCCGTGAGCGCAAAATATGTGTTGTGATTTGGATACCAGTCATAAGTCTCTTTCTTTTTGGCCAAGGGCTGTTCACTGAACATATTTACCACTTTCATGGACTTCGAATCAGTAGGTCTGGCCACTTCACCAAAGATCCAGGCACTCATACGAGACATATGCAGTGCATATTCTGAAAGTGAAGCCATGTCTTAAGCAGTAAGGAACAAGATTCCCTGTGTCTGACCTTGCTCTCATGCCATAAAATGTTTTCACATTAAAAAAAAAAAAAGAACAAATACTGTAGAATTGTATTACATGAAATATATAGAGTATACAAATACATAGGAACAGAAAGATTAGATGTTGTATGATTATAATGCTTTAAATGTTTATTAATCAAGTAGAAGGGATGTTAATGAATTGATTACATCATTTTTTTAACGTTTTGAGACAGGATCCCACACTATCGTCCAAGCTGGTCTGGAACTCACTATGTAGTTCATGCTGGCCTCAAACCTGTGACAGTTGGCATGCCTCACCCTCTGAGTGCTGAGATTAGAGACAGGAGCTAACATGCTCAGCTTGTTACATTTAGATCTTAAAGGAAGCAATACTTGATATTTAAATTACGTTGTGGTGTCGCGAGCAGGTTAGCTGCCATATTTTCAGATGTGACAGCAAACACGATGGGTAATAGGCCACATACCATGCTCCGTGTACATTGCAGTGTTCTGCATAGACTCTCATTGACATCTGAAGCATTTGTACCTGGAGATGCTGGATACCGATCATTCATAGGTCATTGTACATTTTGCAGAAATCTGCTATTTATAATGTAAAGATTGTTATAAAACTAAACATTTATAACTTTTGAACATTTACATTGCAGTTAAGTGGAAACTTCTAATGCAATTGCTAATTTCCTTTATTATTACTATTTTTTTTACAGTCTTGGCTACTGATGATTCAGCAGACAGAGCAGCTTAGTAGGATAATGAAGACGCACGCAGAGGACCTGAACTCCGGGCCCTTGCACAGGCTCACCATGATGATCAAGGACAAACAGCAGGTGAAGAAGAGCTACGTGGGCATCCACCAGCAGATAGAGGCAGAGATGATCAAGGTGGGTCTGGCTGCACGTATAGTCTCTTGAATCGGTTTTAAAACCTATGTTAATATTTTGCCCCATTTGACCTTACAATTGTCATTTCCTGACAAGACTTGTTTGGTGTGTTTAGTAATACTCTATTGTGTACATAATATTACTGATTATAAGCTATCATTTCACTCCCAACAAAGAGAAAACATACCGACCATTAAGCTGTGCCTCAGAGATCTTGTAATAACTTGGAATATGTGTTTTTTGTTTACTGGAATAGTTTTTAGGGGTGGAGAAATGGTTTGGTGGTTAAACCACTGGCTGCTCTTCCAGAGGACCCAGGTTCAATTCCCAGCACCCACAGGGCAGCTCATAACCATCGATAACTCCAATCCCAGGGGATCTGATGCCCTCTTCTGGCCCCCATGAGCATTGCAAGCACATGGTACACAGACATGGGAGCAAATCACACAGGTGAAATAAAATAAACTTTAAAAAACAAAAAGAAACAGCTCTTGGCCTATATAAAAATTAAATATATATATATTTCCTTGTATTAGTAGTAACTTAGTGTACTCCTGAGTTTCTTTGCGTTCAGAGTTTGTCTCTTCTGGGTAATTTCTTAATACTTGATTGCAGAGCTCTGACTAGCGGAACAGAAGAGCAATGTGGCCCCGCTAACCATCACCCACAGTCACCCCTTTTTTTAATGTAGTCTCATGAGTTCTCCTAGTATTGGGTCATTTAAGGGAAACCCCAAATGCCATTTTGTCCAAAAACATTTTTGTAGTGTATGTTGGTAATAAAAGGATTCTTTTTGAAAATAAGAACATTTTGATTAATCCACTTAAAAATGACAGTTAATGTTACTAAATATCCAGTGTTCAAACACTTGCAGGTTCAGTGGTTTCTGTGGGTTTACTTTAGTCAGTCTCTGACCTGAGACATGAGTTGTGTTTGAATAATTGCCTTTTAGTCCCTAGGTTGGTCTTCCTGTTTATGTGTGAAAAATACCATTTACTAACTAAAGGAACTAGATAATCTGCTATATGTAATTGAATTCCTTCAATTTTGAATTTTTCTTTCTTTCATTTTTGTTTGTTTGTGATAGAGTCTCACAGTGTAACCTTAGCAGACTTGGAACTCCCTCTGTAGACTAGGCTGGCCTTGAACTCACAGAGCTCTGCCTGCCTCTGCCCGAAGTGCTGGGAATAAAGGCATGCGCCACCATGCCCTCTCAGTTATAAAGTTTTGATAAGCACTTTAAAAAACCAATCCTTTCATCTTATTTTCCTATAAATTTGAAATTATAGATTTGAAATTATAGATTTCAAATTGTAAGTGTTGTGTAGATTTCCTGTTGTTTCATATCAGTAAGTACATAGAGCTTGTTTTTCTTATGATATTCAACTTTACTAATTAGTTCCACAGTTGTCGGCATCATCTGTCAGATTTCCCGCTTAACTCTTCTGTCTAGTGGCTTTAGAAATCACTGATTGATGTTTTGTACTTTGTGTGTGTGTGTGTGTGTGTGTGTGTGTGTGTGTGTGTGTGTTAAGATGTGTGTTATATGTGTGTATTATATATATGTTGTATGTGTGTGTGTTGTGTGTATGTTGTATGTATGTGTGGTGGGTATTGTTTGTGTGCATTGTGTATGTGTATGTGTTGTGTGTGTGTGTTAGATGTGTATTGTACATGTATATTGTGTATATGTTGTGTGTATGTTGTAAGTATGTGTGGTGGGTATTGTTTGTGTGCATTGTGTGTATGTCTATGTGTTTTGTGTGTGTGTGTGTGTGTGTGTGTGTGCACGCGCGCGGGCGTGCGTGCGTGCGTGCGTGTGCGTGTGTGTGTGTGTGTGTGTGTGTGTGTGTGTGTGTGTGTGTGTGTGTGTTTGGGTAGGCTCGAGGTAGATAGCAGTTGTCTCAGTCATTCTCCACCTTGACTCTTGAGACAGGGTCTTCCAACGAGCCCAGGGCTTGCCGTTTCAGACACACTAATTGGCCTGTGTACTTCTGGATTCTTTTGTTTCTGCCCCTCCTCCCAGGTCTGGAGTTACAGTCACACGCTGCTGTGCCTGGCTCTCACATGGGTGCTGGGATCTGAACTCAGGTCCCCATGCTTTCATGGCGTTTTACTGACTAAGCCATCTCTCCAACCCCAAGGCCTGTTATTGTATTGGTGTTTCTTCAATGGAAAGGCTTTTGCATTTTTTATTTCCTAATTCAATTTAACAAAAATTTTCTGTCAAGTAGAATTTTTTTGGAGGGGAGGGGGTGTGGTGGTGCACACCTTTAATCCTAGCACTTGGGAGGCAGAGGCAGGCGGATCTCTGTGAGTTGGAGGCCAGCCTGGTCTGCAGAGTGAATTCCAGGGCAGCCAGGGCTACCAAGAGAAACCCGGCCTCAAAGAAAAAAAGAAGGATGTTTTTGCAACTATTTGGATACCCTAAAATTCAGTATGTATAGGAAAATCCAAATAAATAATTTGTTTTTGAATCAGTGTATTAGTTCTCAATAATGAATCAGTTCTTGAACAGCCTCAAAATTAAGCAGATGATAGTGATTGGAATTCATTTATATTTACCTCCTAGTTGTTGAATTTTTGTTTTTGTTTATTCACAAAATGTCATCAAGAGCATTGGTGAGCATGATTTCTTTTAAAAGGACTCTGACATTTCCTGGAAAATTGCTTGTGCCCTTTTTTTGCAGGTTGTTTGTTTGTTTGTTTGTTTTAATGTAGTTTTTGAGACTTTCATGCTTGTGTATAATATAGTCTGGTCCCACTCAACACCCCAGCTCTCCTCCCCTCCCAGGAAGTCCACCTCCCACTCTCAGTTCCCTTTGCACTACTGAGTGTGAATTTAATCTGGGCACCAACATGGGCATGGAGGTCAAGGATGGGTTACCCTTGGCCATACCACTGAAGACAATGACTTCCTGTTTCCCAGCATCTGTCCACTTCTAGTAGCTCTCCTGGGAGGAGCTGGGCTCCAAGAGCCTTCCCTTCATCTATGACTGAATGTTGACGGGTCCAGCCTTGTGTCGGCCCTGTGCAAGTCACAGCTGCTGGGAGTTGTGTGTGCCATGGCCGTGTCTTGCCTAGAAGACAGTCTTTTATGCCCCTTCTTCCTGTCATCTGGCTCCCACATTTTTTTTTTTTCTGTACTGTCTTCTACGATGTTCCTAAACCTGGGAGAGTGTAATGGAGATGTTCCTTGGAGGGCCGAGCACTCAGCAGACACTTCACCTTGAGTCTGTGCTTTCACCACTGTCCAGTGCAAAAAAAAAAAAAAAGCTTCCCTGACCAATACTTAGGGCAGCATTGGTCCATGGGTGTAAACACACATATTTGTATAAGAGCTCACTCCTAGACTCTGTGACCTTCCCGGCCAAGTTGCCTTTGATCAGTCCTGTAGTCCAAGGCATGAACTCTCTCCTTTGGAGAAGGTCTCAGGTCCCTTCAGAATGGAGTGGGTTTTCTCCATAACAGTCATATTACTAGCGCAGCAGTGGAGATATTTGCCTGGTGGTCAGTACTGAAGCATGTCAGGTCCACAGCTGGCCTAACACCCTCGGGAGCTTTTCCCTCTCAACTGTGTGAAACTGTATGAAAGCTAGCTAACGGGGTCCGGGCATCCAGCTCATTTCCACAGAGCATTCCTGAACCTAAGGCTCAAGGTTCATTGCGGAAAATGGGGAGGAACGATTGTACAAGCCAGAGGATCAGGGGGTTTGCTCTAAGAATGGGTCTCTTAGTGTTGTGTTATTCTTGATTTGTCTTTGAAAAGAAGTTTATGTATTTTTATATCGTATTGAATTTGTCATGGATTTTTAAAGCTGATTTTTAGTTTATTGTCTTATTTATTTATTTTTTGGTAAAGATTAGTTGTCACCTATGGGTCATAAAATATAAATCAACTAATGCCTTAGAATGTAAACTGTTGACCAATTTAAATGTAACACTGAAATTTTTTTTTAAATTTTTTTACTTTTTCTTGTTTCTTTGACAGGTCACAAAGACAGAATTGGAGAAATTAAAATCCAGCTATCGACAGTTAATAAAAGAAATGAATTCTGCCAAAGAGAAATATAAAGAAGCCTTAGCCAAAGGTATGACAGCATTAGAAAAAGTGTGTACTGTGATGGTTTCTATTCTGGTCCGCTCATAGATGTCTTTTTAAGAGTAGAATTGTCTAATTTAGAGCAATTTACATTCTAAATCTCTAAGTATATCAGAAGAGACTGGCTGTTGGACTGCTCCAGATTCACTTTGTGTTTAAGAGATTCAGAGTGATTCTGATTAGTTCTCATTAGCAGAGAACGAATCTCTCCCTCCGTTCCTTTACCTCCCTTTCATGTCTCTTCTTCACTCTTCCTCCCCATCCCATTCCCACCACTTCTTATTTTGTTTCTTATTCAATTTCAGTAGCTCTTTATAGAGAAAAGAGATCCATGTTCACATTTTATCTTTATGTATTTCCACGCACTGTAACTGTTTCGAGATTGGCATATCCTTATCAAAAGAGTGTTCTTTTGAATGTTTAGCCATCTCTCTTGTCCCAGCACTACTTTATTTTTTAATCTGTCTGCATAGTTACCTTTGTAAAGTCGACTACTTTATCCTTATCCGGGCCTCTCCAGTTTGTTAATTACATCATAAACATCCGTGTGAACCTCTCCTCAGAGTCTGCAGTGATGTGACTGACTGCACCTTAGTTCACGTATACGTGAGAGTCACGTATATATGAAGGGTGTATGTGGCTTTCATGGCTGTGAGAGTGAGTGGTAAGGAAAAGAAGTTCATCACTAGTCTTTGACACCTGCTTTAATGATGTCGATTATTTTTGTTTAAACATAAAATCGGTATTGCGGTGTTTTAAACAGCTTTTGTACTTAAAGCTTGCTTGCCTTATAGAAATTTACTCACAGATGATTCTTTTTGAGTCTGGCAGAATACTATAGTAGCAAGGCAATGAGAATGTCTGAAGACAATGTCTTTAATTCCCTCCCTCCCTCCCTCCCTCCCTCCCTCCCTCCC